TAGTTTTTTTTGGCAAATCCAAAATGCTAATCTAGAAAATTAGTTCCGATACATCCATAATTTTCCCAAGTGATTGGATGTACAAGTATTATATATATATATACACACACACACACATATATATTAGGAGATAAATCTGTTTATAGATACAAAGCACACCCACTGGGAGCTTTGGAAATAGTCCATGTTTCCTCCGCAAAATTCCTTTTTAAAAAATAATTAGTTCTAACAGAGGTGGGGCTCAATGTAAAAACTTAAGACTTCTAATCTTGAGAACTCATTTCTGCCAGTGGCAATGCTTTCTTCTTATTCTTTTTTTATTATTATTTTTATAAGGACCAGTAGCAATGCTTCTTTTCCAATCAAGATGTCAAGAGAGGATTATGAAGAAAGACAAGGAGGTCACACAAGTGTCTGTAACATCTAAGCATGACAAAACAAGTGATGAAAAAGACTCATTATGTAGTTTATGGAGGACAAATACCTCAATTATAATTGGTTTTCCATCTTTCATAGCTTTCTTCAAATCACCAGCCAAACCTACAAAAAATTGAGATGCTGATCAAATTCCTTAACATGCTCCAAAACAGTTGTTTACAACAAGAATTACCTTTCCTTACTATTCTGCATTCTCTGCAGAATTCGGTAATTAGCTCATCTGATGAACTGAAATCACGTGCCCATACAGGAGAAGATGCCAAAGGTGCACTGACAAAATTACAAGGTATACAAGTATTTGAGCGCCACATGATATCACACTTCTCAGATAACCTTTAGTTAAGCATGAACAACATGATTCTGGAAGTAACAGGTAACCAAAATAACTAAATCTGCATTGACAGTTACATACTCTGTTGATGTCCGTAGCAATTCATACACCATGGCAGTCTGAAAAAAAACGCATATAATTGATAAGCAAGCAAGGATAAACAGAGCGCTTGCTCAAAGATACAGATAGAAGCAGACCCAGAAAATGCAGAGGGATTAAAGAAGAACCTGCAAGACATTTGGCAAGTTCAGCCTCTGTGCAAGTTGGGTAGCAATGGTAGATTTTCCAACACAAGCAGTACCACAAACAAGAATTACCAAAGGCACTCGCATATGGTGAAATCTAAGAACATAAAGATAGCCAAAAAACAGAGGGAAAGCAACATCAAATACTAAATTAGGTCGTTTCAATCATTCCCTTCCTCATTGCTCCCTCCTCTACAAAAATGAATATACAAGAAAATGATCCTCAATAGGAAAAGAAAGGGAAAGTTGACAAAAAAATATCACCAACCTCGTAATCATTTTATAACGGTTTATATACTCTTCTCCGAAACCTCTTCGCTCCATAAGCTGCATGGCATCCAAACAATTCAGTGTTATTTAGCTACTTTCAGAACTTTGAACAACTTCTAACAGAAAGGAAAATCAAGTCACATACTACAAGGTCAACACGACCTATAATACCCTCAACCAAAGGGTTGGTTCCTGACAGCATAATATGCTTATCAATTTGTGCATCTTAACTCTCCTACACAGGTAATTCAATATAAAACATAAACATCTTTGTGTCAAGATGTAGAGCCAATGGAATAAGCTAAAACATTCACAGTTAAGTACCTTGGATAGTTAAATATTCATGGAAAAATAACTGAATCGCTGAAAAGAATTGGAAACGGAACATAACCGAGAATAAGACATGTGGTACCTTGAATAAGTTTGCCTCCAAATCTGATTGTGAGCTGCATTAAGAAATAATTGTTTAATTACTACGGAGCAAGTCAGGTAAAACTCAATGAGAATAAGATACAAATTTTGATGTCATACACATCGAGTAGGCTGTTGTCAACAAGAAGCTTCTTAAGCTCAAGTGCAATTTTAATAGCCACGTGATTTGGAATCTGTAAACGAGAAGCAGTGCACATTAACTCCACATTCATACCAAAAGCTATAGATCTGGTAGTAGGCCATCCTTTTGAAATAAGGAAACCTGGGACCCTAACAAAGTAACAAATGACAGCATAATAACCATACATATTGCCCAATTCAAGGAACAGCAGAGTCGTGATGTTAGAATTTTAATAGGAACAGTGTTGGTAAGCGACAACTTTAGTCATTGACTAAGAGAAGCAGCAGAACTTAAGGTGATACCTAGAGATATACTCCCTTTGATCATTTTTACTTGTCCACTATACTAGTTCACTTTTAGCACAGAAAAAAATAGTTTTTGGTGGTTTACCCAAAGACTATACATCAATTAAAATGGATATTGTGGTAAAATACTCACATTAATCATTGTTTATAAAGGGCCGTGCAAAATCCAAGGTATACAAGTAAAAGTGAACCAGGGATTACATGTTTGTATTTTTACATGGCAACTGATAAGCTGCTCAAGCCAATACCTTTTCTTCTTCATTTTTCTCCCATATAATTCCAATTTGATAGTAAATTTTATTTTTTCAACATAGAATAAAATCTGATACCTTAGTCAAAAAAAAAAAAAAAAAACTGATTCAATTCATGATATGATAACTAGCTGATTATGAATTTGCATGTGATTCATAATCTGCGAAGGAAGGAAGGATCGATGCTGAACCTTAGTGACTGTGAGCATTCTGCTGAGCAAAAATCTAGAGAGAACATAGTAGTGATCGGCATTGTCACCCAGCCATACTTTCACCTAAAACACAAGCAAGCAAGCAAACAGAGAACAAAATTAAACTAAAATAAAGAACAAAAAAAAAAGAGTCGACAAAATTGCAGCAATGGAAGGAATATAAACCTTAACGAAATCGTATTTGGAAGAAGCGTTTCGGGTAGAAAATCGACGAGCTGAATGATTAGTTGCGGCAGCATCTTCTTGTTCGTAATCTTCTTCTTCATTGGTGCTAGGGCTTTCTATTACAACCGCCTTATCCTTCTTCATATCTCACTGATAAATATCTCGGGTACTGTGCCCGCCGGGAAGATGATGCCGGTAAATATCGACGGAGAATGTGGACAATCAACTTTACGAACAACTTGTGCTTGTGCTTGTGCACATAAAACTTTCTTCGCTTTTATTGAACTGTGTCTGTCGGGTGGGATTCCTTTTGGCTTTAGCGATTAAGAAATATCTTAGGGCATATTTTATAATTTATTCTGTTTCACCTAATAGTTATATAATATAATAATCTTCAAGTAATTAATAGGAAATATTTCAAGTTATGTGTCATTTTAACGAAAGTATACTTCGAAAGGTAAGAAACTAACAAAGGATTCATCGGCTAGCATGCTAGCTCCTACTAAATAGGAGGCTCCTTTACACCTTTTGGACAGGTGCGATAAATATATTTTAATTTTGTCTCAACTGATATTTATGATCTTTAATTTTGGAGATACATATACTTAAATGTCTTAAATGGTAAATCATGTGAGATGCATGCATCCTGCATATCAAATCGTATGAGATGCATGCGTCCTACCTATTAAATTGCGTGAGATTTGTCAAGTAGGATGTGTGTCTACTTGTTCAACTTTATGATGGTTAAGTGTTTACTTGTGCGCATCATAAGTTGAACGACATAGATGTAAGTTGAGACCAAATTAAAAGGTATGTTTATGTATTACTTTTGTGTATAACAAGCACTAAATATTTTACATATGTGTGAGGTATATCGTCACACATGAGGTGAAGAAAAATGTTTGACTGCACGGGAGATGAGCACTCAACGTGTACAAGTCGATATACATAGTGCAGTAAGAATAATTATTAGATTAAACATCTAGGATGTGAAAATAAATTAATTAAATTGGTATTCATGATGGAGAAGATGAGATACTGAACTTACAGTATATGCAGGCAAGTAGAGAACGATGGCTAAATGTGTAACATGCACATCAATAGCTCAATTAAGGTGTAGAGATGCATACTAATGCTAAAGCTACTTGAATGGAGAATCATCGAGCTTTACAGATGATAGTTCAGCAAAACTTTTAATTTATATTGTAGTTAAGTCGTCAATCTTCTTCGAAACTACTAATTCGAGCAACATATTTATAATGTGAGTCAATTCGTTTACCCTCCCTCTTGTGTCGTGTGCTTGTAAAAAACAACAAATAGAGATAGAGATCAATCCTTAAAATTTTTGTATATAAGGACCATCACTGATTTAATGAAGTTCATCAACTTTTTTGTATCTTTACTTCAGTTCTTATATGGTGTATCGACAATTGCAACTATGGAGGATATATGCCATGATGAACACATTTTGGATGAGCTGATCGTGGCGGAACCAAAATACATATTATAGGTAAGTTGATCATAGAGAGTGCCCCAATTGTAATAGTCTAAATTGGAGTATGAGTAGATGAGTAGTTCCATTTAAATACCAAATGGATCATGTATATGTATGAGCATGAAAAATTATGTCTTACATGATGTTGCAAGATTGTTGGTTCCATTTGCTTTTGCATCTTATATCAAAATAGGTCTGAAAGAGAAGTCTCAAATAGAATGTTACTAGCCTTTTTTATCTTCAAGTTTTCGATCCATAAATCTAGTTACCAAGGACTGAAGGTGTCAAAAGCCCAAAAAAAATAATCATTTCGACATAGATGCCATTGATGTAGAAAATTATTATGGTTCTCGTCTCCTCCACAAATGACATGCTTGCTGGTATGGTTCATATCAAATATGCTTTCACACAATTGTGGAAGGCAATAGTCATGGCATAAAAGGTGCCAAAATTCTTTATAACATCGTAGATAGGAAAACCCCTTTTAAGAGTTTTTGGGGTTCCAAATACAGAAATACCATTAAGCTTGACAAAGATACAGCGAGATGGCTTTAGCTGAATGCTCATGAGGTTACAGCATCGAGCTCTATACATTAACTTAGGCCTCTTTCTCCATCTCTACCCTGAGAAAGTGCCGATCTTCGATCCTATAGTTCCTACGTTACATACTTAAGCGACTACAAATACAGGATAATGACTGACATCAAGGCCTCATTGCTGATAGTATTGGAGCAAAGTGTCGCACTGACCTCTTTCATGTGTTAGAGTTCTCATATGCATAAATGAGGAGGTAAAATCTAGTAGAGTTGTCTGAATGCATGATGAGAAAGCCAGTCTATACACCAGGCAGTGACTTCCAGTCGCATGTCTTCTTGAATAATTTATTGTCTGAATGCATGATGAGGAAGCCAGTCTATGCACCAGGCAGTGACTTCCAGTCGCACGTCTTCTTGAATAATTTACTGCCTCTTTTTCGCATGCCAGTTCCCACAAGACCAGCTGAAAGAAGAGATTTTGTATCTGGTCTCCACTGAAAATCTTTTAGCGTGGAGAACAAGGTAGAAAGTGCTGGACTGATTTCACTATCCTTTATATTGCCACATGATATCACCTTGAGGCTCTGGATCTCCTTCCATGAAAGGAGTGCAGATTCGAGGCCTTCAGTTGTGAGCAGTGAACAGCTTTCTAGGCAAAGAGACTTCACTCTCCTGTTGAAAATAACACCAAAATGAAGCTGTGAAACCCAAATTCCTAACATAATGTTATATTTAGTTAATTACAGGCCCTTTACTCAAGTGAATTTTAAAGGCAGCCTTGTGCATAAAGTATCCATTGTTCACGCAAGGGGATACCCTCCTAATGCAAGCATTAGTGGCTACTTCCACGGCCCAAATTGGTGACCTATAGGTCACACGGAAACAACTTTACTGTTGCTCCAGGTGAATGTAAAACAAAATATGATACCAAATTGCCAGTCAGAACTGAAGCAAGTTCAATGTATAAAACTCAAAACTGGACTCTTTATAATCCAAGATAGCACACATGATATTGATAAATCAAGCATCAATAATGAATTGAAACATAATTGTCATGCCATCAACATTATGTGTTTTCTCTAATGCAAGATGGAAGTGTATACTCTTCGAGAAACGGTAAGGCTATTTTAACATTAATAACTGAAACACTAAGAGGGTGCATGATTACAAATGCATCTACAAACTGGCCTTAAAAAAACAATCTATCCCCAACATAAATAGCTAAGGAAATCTATCACATTTATCCTTTTACCAAGAAAACAAGATCAAAGGGTATACTATGACCAAAATAAAATGCACTATTACAAGCAAACTATTCTTTCATTTGGTCGTCTATTATACCCGAGGGGTGGGGGATGGGGGTTACAGCAACACTAAAAAGTCGTTTTTAACAAAAATAAGGAACTACATTTCAAGGTCATAAAACCTAAACACAATAAGTTCATGTATGTCAAATGCATAACAAAATGCTAACCCAGCACGAAATTTTCCAGCAACAGCAAGCAAAGTAAACGAGAACAGGATAATATAACCAATACCTTAGACCAGTGGATAGACTGAACATTTCATTATCCAGTCCCCAACAGTTGTGGAAAATAACCTCTCTAACTTCTTGACATAGTAGAAACAACGTTCTCAAACTCTCCTTATTTCTTAATTGGCATTTCTCGAAATGTAATCTTTCAAGTGTCGGGCAAGATCCTACATCTTCATCAAACCATCCACAATGATCTATACTCTTACAAGACATAAACCTCAAGGTGTTCAAATTTTCACAATAGGAAAGAGCAGACAACCAACCACCCTCCATCCTATGATCACGAAGAATCAACTCTTCGAGCATTTGACAACATTGTGCTATTGCCTTAATCCCTTCATAGCTCCCTTCACAACCACTCAGCTCCAGCTTCACCAACCTCTTACACCCCTGAGCTAAAATAGTCAATCCAATATCAGTAACCAAAGATTTATAAAACCCATCAACATTTCCAATCAATCTCAATATCTGCAAGTTCTGACAGGCCGCGATACCACGAAGAACCTGATCATTACATCTGTGCAATTCCAACACTTGCAAAGTTGGACATTCCTCAGCTACCCCCAACAATCCCAATTCACTAGCATTTACCACCAACAATCTACGCAAATTAGGACACCCACTTGCTAGTACTCTCAACCCCTTATCAATCTCATCAGAAGGCAACACAAATCTTTCCTTAAGAAACCAATCTTTCGCATCAGCACTACAATCCACGTGAGAAGAAAGCAACCGGTTAGAGCAAAAAACACCCGCATTCCCCGGTGAAATGAGAGACCCATTAACCAAATCAACATGGACAAGATTAGGGAACCGAACAAACAACCGACCCGAAACAAGGAAATCCCAATCAAGAAGCTTAATCGACCGTACCAGACGACCTTGGAGATTGAGCCAACGTTTAGATACAAGAGAGTTACAATTTCTTTGTGAATCAGGGAGTTTAGAGAGAATGGAAAGAAGTATTTGATCAGAAAGAAGAGAAATTGGATCGGATACAAGTGAGGGAAGAGTGAAATCTAGGGATTTGCGAAGTTGTGGAGAAGGGGATGAAGATGGGGTTTGCTTATTGGACCTGGATTGAAGATGCATAGTGAAAAGGACATGATTGATTGCTTTCTTGTTCTTGAGCAACAAATCATTCCAGCTAGGAGATGGTGGCCCTTTCAATGGTGACCTGAAATTTGATTTTTCAGGTGAAAACGCCATTGTTTTCTTAGCTAGCAGCCAACAAGAAACACCATGAAAGGTCTTGGTTGTTTCACTCAAAATCTTGCATAATTTGTTGTCAAGCTCAGATGTAATCTACGAATACTATTTCTTCCTCCTCCTCTTTGTTTTTTCGTGCAAAGTAGTTTGGGAAAATTTCGATATTTGAGTCTAACGGACTTGTAAGGAGTGGGACCGGGTCTAGGCATCCAAGAATTTGAATTTGGGTAGATGGGGCCCACTACAGGAATTTTGGGGATTTTTCCCGTTTGAAAATGGGCCACTTTTTCCAAATTATAATTTACAAGTTTGTTCGTATTGTCTTTTGCCAATGTGCTAAAGTCCAACATATGGCACTTCCTATAAATGGGATGGGATGGGATGGGATGGGCTACTCACCCTTTCAATCGTTATTCTAATTTGAAAGCATAAAGTACGGAAATCTCGATAATTTGGGCACTAATTATATTTTATCGTGAAAGTTTTTTAAATTATTTTTTAGAACTCACAAATACATTGTTCCTTCACTTGATATATAGCAAACGATACATAAAATTTGTGTTGGATACATAACTATAAATCAGATTAATACTGATTTAAGTTTGAAATAATTGGGGTTATATATCAACAATAACATTTTGTACTAGATATATTGTATACAAACAAAGTTGTAATGTATCTGATAGATGTATCCGGATGTTTAAGAGAAAGAAAAGGAAAGGGGGGATTTTTATAATTAATACAAATGATAGGAATTTTCAGAGATTATGTTATCTTAAGTCATGTAATTACGTAATATTTCCAATTTGAAATGTAATGGTAACTAGTAGTTTTTGTCGTTTTAATTTGTGTATTTAATTTTGATTCATTGAATTTAAGATAATTAAAAAAAACTAATTATATGATCTTCAATTAAGGATGTAAAATCTATCAAAAAGTCTCTTCACTACTGACTTAAATATGCCAAAAAAAAAAAGAGAGTTAGTTGACTAACGGTAAAATTGCCCAATTATGAATACTTCACGCGTAAAATTGATCCATTTTTACAAGAATTAATTGATTTTTCTGGAAAAAGAAATTTCTTTCGGTTTTTTTTAAACCCCAAAAGAGACATTTTATCCATCTCCAAAAAGATGGGGTATTTATTACATTTGAATTGAGGGATTGCGAGCCACTCTCAATTCCCTATTCTTTTCTGAAGGATAGAATAAGTTATCCTTAATTAGTACAACTGGGATGAAGCAAGTGAAATTGTATTAAGATATTTTGTTATTGATCTAATAAATCTAGAACAGTAGATGACTGATTCATAACATGTATTAGTTACCATTAAAATATTTTAAATGATAATAAAGCAACATGAAAGAGGTTGTTTTTCATTGTTTTGGAGTGATTTTTAGGGACTGTTTGACCACAAATATATTTGAGAAAAAATTGAAAATTAGTGTTTGGCCATATAATTTGCTATTCCATTACTTATGTAGAGATTAGTTACGATGTGATAAGTAATGTTGAGATTATTTTTATTGAGTGTTTGGTTTATTGTATTCAAAACAATATGTATGACATAAATTTTAAGAACAAGTTGTTTGTTCTAAATATATATACCCTTCATGAATATGAAAAGCGATGTATAAAAACGGTTTAAAGACATATTTTTGTCATTTACCTATTTTATCCCGGGATAAGTTATCCGAGTTACTATATCACCCAAGGGGAGATCTCAGACTTGCTAACCAAACAACAAATTAACTGGTACTATAATTTAATCACGGGACTATTTAGTGTTATCTTTCACACCAAACGATAGTATATAAAGTTGACAACATTCAAGATTTATACTCAATAGATTCAATTTGAAGATTATTCGTTTTGAACTTGTTATATTTTTAAAGTTATGAATTTCATATCTACCATTTTATATTAGTTTTAAAAAAAAATAAAAAAAATCTACACATAAATTTATATTCTACATCAAAAGTCATGAATTCAGTTAAACCAGCAATATTCGCAGCACACAAATGACAAATCAGCTAAAAGGGATTATTGGTCAGTTGAAAACCACAATTGCTACTTTCGTGCTTGTTTTGAGCAATCATAAGCCATATTTTTTTCAATTATATATAAACCTTGATCGAGAATATACTTTCAATTTAGGAACATATTAATATATCTTTCTGATTTTGCCTTCATGAAAATTTGAAAAAGGGGTAATTTTATCATTTTGCAAGGAAATAAAAAGATTAGGATATAAATTATTTTTAAAAATAAAATAGGGTGCAAATAGCTATAAAGAACATGCATGTTTCAGTGTGTAAAAATTATGCAAAGAAAGTTTCTCAAGTATCAACTTTCCCTAAAAATCACAATAATTCTCACTGAAATAATTTATTTTGTAACAAAAAAAAATTATCCAGTTTTATCTATGTACCATATAAAATGTTTTTTTTTCTCTTAAAGACTTTATGTGATACATAGACAAAGTTAAATTACTTTTTCTTTTAGAAAAAATGGTCTAAAATACCCCTCAACTTTCATTATACTATGTGGTTATTTATACCTTACCGTCTACAAACTTGTCACATGTACTCTTTAATTAGATAGAAAATCCTAAATCAAGTAATATTACCCGATTTCAATTAAAATAACTTAATTTCCTCTTTTTGTCCGAATTCGACCCACTAAACTAAATAAATTCATACCAAATTAAATCTTCAAACCCATCTCTCTAACCTTCTTCATCTCCTTCCTCCAAAAAGACTGTAAACTTCTTGTATTTATGAATTATGACAATATGATCATAATTTCCTCATCACAAATTAGTGATGGGGGCACAAATTTTCTCAACAAATATATTTGGTAATAATGGTCTTTTTCATTTTAAATCTGACCACCAAAGTACCATCACAAATAATCACAATGATAAAGGCACAAACATAATGAGACATTCTCTAACCCCCACAATATTCTACAAAAATGAATTTAATAATTCATGAGATTCTTATATTTAACGTGCCTACAATATTGTAGAAATCGAAAATAGTCATTCGTGGGGTTCGTTCTCCCCTCTTCAATTTTGAATGAGCAATATAGTTTTAATCTATTATTTGTTCAATTCAGTCGACTTAATACTTAGTTAATTCTTCAATAGTATATATATGCTAAAACTGATCAAAGGCATCTTGTTGAAAGAAAAAATATGACCCTATTTGTTTGGATTTATTCAGTTCAAATCAGATATTGAATTTTTTGTATATGGCTATAGATTCGCCTCTAAATTTACAAAACATAGTTATAGCTTTTTATATTTACGAAACGTGCCAACAGTTTGTATTCATGTGCAAGTAAAATATATTGTATTTGCGTGCATAATAAATTATATATTCGTGCATATACAATATTTTTATAGCAAAATATATTATATTTATGCATGTAACAATAGTAAATACATTATATCCACGTGCATAACAATTGTGAAATATAAACATTACATCACATGCACTTAATAAGTGTATCTATGCAGATACAATGAGTCCGGAGCCAAAAAGGCAAAAAAAATTGCTAAAAATTTCAAAAGGGCACATCAAATTTTTTTTAACCAAAAGGGCAAAATCGCTCTTGCTGGAGCGATTTTCTTCTAACAAAATTGACACCGTTAATTATTTTTTTAACATCGCTGCCCTGCAGCGTTTTTCTCAAAAAAAACTTTTTAAAATTGAAATATAGCAACGATTTCCTTTTCCTTAAAAAAGTTAAAAAAAATTTAAAAAAAATCGCTTGCAAGGCTTAAAAAATGGGGTTTCTCAGAAACCAAATAAGCCAACAAAGAAATGGGGTTTCTCAAAAACCAAATAATCACCATATTGTTGAGTGTACCATCTCTTTAGGTCAACCAACACAGGATGAAACATGTGTTTAGGAAGGGAAACTTGGCCATCAAAGAGTGGTGCAATAATGGCGATTAACAAGAAGTAAAAGAAAAGAAGCAATCCCAATAGCTTAACAAAAGCACCTATTTTGGTCTTCGTCTCTTTGCAGCAATAGAGGCAGACACCAAACAGTTCAGCTAATTTTTTGAGAAAAACGCTGCAATGGCAGCTTTGTTAAAAAAAATGACAAAATTGCTGCCAGAGCAGCGATTTTAAGGAAAAAAGAAAAAAATTTGGACAAAATCACTGCCCCAGCAGCAATTTTTATGTTTTTTTTAACGGAGTAACGGAGTCAATTTTGTCAGAAGGAAATCACTCCGTCAGGAGCGATTTTGCCCTTTTGGTTTAAAAAATAATTGATGTGCCCTTTTGGAATTTTTGACAATATTTTTTGCCCTTTTGGCTTTGGACTCCAGATACAATATCTTTGTCTAATTATATTTGTGTGCAAAATAAGTGTATATATTTGTACATATCCGCTATAAAAAACCGCAAAACTATTACTATATTATGTGAATTTTTTCACTTAATACAGTTATTTTCAGGTAATATAGGGAATTAGTTTGATCATTGATGAGTCCCATAATATATTTCCAATAAGATATTGAAGGTAATTCTTTGATATACCTCATGTTGACACCTAATTTTGACCCTCCACAATAAGAATTAATTTGCGAGCTTCTTTAATTTCAAACGATTTGAAATAATTGATTTTATAAAAAATTCAAAATAGGTTTCAAGACATTTTTTTTTAGAATTTTATTCACTTTCATAATATTTTAAATATTTTAAATAATAAATATGCTTTATATTGTTACGTATGTAACTAATATATTTTACAAATACTTGAAAGCTATCTTGAAAATATTTCATTTATTTTTAACGTTAAACACTTTACTAATTTAATTTAGTTTAAATTATAGGTATGTTTTGAATTAATTAGTTTGATTAAGTTAATTATTTTATTTCGTTAAAAGTAAGAAGCTCTTTAATTAATTCGTATTGATTCATCTTGTTTAAGATTTGGTCAAAGTTCTCTGATTAAACTCGATTCTGGCCAAATTCTTAATTCAAATTGGCAAGATTGCAATCCATTTAGTTATTTCAAATATGACCAATGCTTTCACTC